ATGTTTTCACAGTTTTATGTATTAAAAAAACTATTTTGATCTATTATAGAGCAAAAGGGCTTCAGATATTTAGGAAGTAGTGAAATGAGAACAGTTTTCGTTTTCACTTCTCTGGATCCTGAATACTGTTTCTGATTTCACAAAATAAGTGGAACCTCTAGGGATTCAGAAAGTTAGCCTCCTTTGTCTAACTGATTTCCACACTCTCTCTGATCTCTCTCTTTTGGTCTTTCCTTCCACTGCAAACTTTCCTTCAGTTCACGAAAAAACAGAATAAGCTTATAAGTTTCTCTCTGTTTCATATGCTAATAAAATTCCTCTGTTGGTCGATAATGCCTAGTTCACTTGTTTTCTATTTTAGTTTGTTAAATATCTGGGTTGTGTGAGTATGAAATTATACATTAGACTGCAAACAAATATGTTGGACTGTCTATTGTGTACTTTCTTCTACATAAATTCTAAGAGTTTTATGATGTGATGATTTAATTTCATGGAAGTATATCCAAAGTAAAATTCCAAGTTTAACAACCATGGAAGTATATTTGCAACTTCTTAATTTGACTGGTTTATGATATTCCTTTGTTAATGAGATTGTGTTTGCTGTATTTTGCAGATGTGCTGCTAATTGTTAAGCTGGTTTGGTAGTATATATTTCGGTAAGGATCTACAGCCCTATGGCTATTGTTGAATTTATAGGGGATCTTCCAGTTCAAGATCCACCAGAAGAGGAGTTCTCTGCTGCTGATTTGACTTGGACCAAATTTGGCACTGCTGAGCACCATGATGATGCAGCCCTCATTCCATATGATCGAGTTGATGAATTTATAATTGGTGAAGGCTCAAATTTAGAGTGCCCAACAAGGTTTCATATTGAGAGAGGAAGAAAAAGAAAGATGGGCAGTTTAAAGGAATACAAGGATGATGAGTATTTGGAATATAGGATGTGAGTAAAAAACTTCTTAAACTTAACATATTGCTCTTATATTTCCTTCTGCTGATGAAAAAAAAAAACCCTTAATTTTCCATATATATCATTGAAATAGTATAATGATGTTCTGATATGGTGACCCTTTGATGATCTCAAACCTTTGAGTTTCCCAGCTTATCTAATCTCTGGTTCAGGATTCACCATTAATGAAGTTCCGAAGAACTAATTTGTGGGTGTGTGTGTGTGTTCTTTTCTTTAATTTAATTTAGTATCTTGATTTGACTAATATAAATCAGGTGTAAGGACAACATTGCCATTTTTTTTCTGCTCCAATTGCACCATTGTTTTTGTGATGGTTATAACTGAAAGCTTAAACCTTGTTTTGGATATAAAAAAAATCGATCACAAGTATTAATATTGTGGTTTGACTAACAAATAAGCCATATGAGCAATGGATGTTTAGATAGACCCCCCTTCTTTTTCCTTAACTTAGGCGCTACAGTTATTAAGTTGATCATTCTTTCTCCTTGAAGGTATTGGTGTTCTTTTGGTCCTGAAAATTATGGGGAAGGAGGAAGTATATTGCCTAGCAGAAGATATCGCCTCAACACCCGCAATCGTGCTGCCAGACCTCAATCCATGCGGGGCTGTACATGCAATTTTGTAGTGAAACGTTTGTATGCCCGTCCATCACTTGCACTAATTATATATCATGAGAGGCGCCATGTGAACAAATCTGGTTTTGTTTGCCATGGCCCACTTGACAGAGATGCGATTGGCCCTGGAGCAAAGACAGTTCCATATATCTGTAATGAGATCCAACAACAAACAATGTCTATGATCTACCTGGGCATTCCAGAAGAAAATATACTAGAGAAGCACATAGAGGGGATTCAGCGATATTGTGGATCAAATGCAAAAGTCAATAGCCTTGCTTCCCAGTACGTCCACAAACTTGGGATGATTATTAAACGGTCTACCCATGAATTGGATCTTGATGATCAAGCTAGCATCCGCATGTGGGTTGAACGCAATAAAAAATCCATATTCATATATCAGGATACTTCAGAAAAAGATTCATTCATTCTGGGGATTCAAACAGAGTGGCAGCTGCAACAAATGATTCGTTTTGGCCATTGCAGTCTCATTGCATCTGATTCAACATTCGGCATAAAGAGACTGAAGGTAACAAATCATTGATGCTGTTTGTACAAGCTTCCGAACTGACTAACCCTCTCACATGCGCTATGAGATTGCTTTCCTGATTTCTAGGTTTAGTAGGACCTGTTTCCAGGAAGTACATGGGTGGTAATAAATAAATCAAAACGTTTGTGGGTGGTTATCTTGTCATCACATTTCATTTGGAATGGACTGGTTACGAAGTCATGAAATGGTTCATGAATGTTTAAGGGATTTTTTTATTTTTTTTATAGATTAGACAATGTGCATGGTGATGTAGATGTTTATAAATGTGTGTTTTGAAATGGCAGTATCCTTTGTGCACACTTCTTGTCTTTGACTCAAGACAACATGCACTCCCTGTCGCATGGGTCATCACACGTAGCTTTGCAAAGCCAGATGTGTCTAAATGGATGAAAGCTCTACTTGATCGAGCTCGTAGTGTTGAGCCTGGATGGAAGATCAATGGGTTTTTAATTGATGATGCAGCAGCTGAGACTGATCCCATCAGGCAGGATGCTCTTGCTCTGTAATTCGTCATGCATTAAATTTATCTGGTCATAGAATATAGTGCATTCTAATAACACATTTCTGTTCTTTCAGAGATATCTTTTGTTGTCCCATACTATTTTCCCTCTGGCGCGTTCGTAGATCATGGCTGAGGAATATTGTAAAGAAATGCAATAACATTGAAGTTCAGCGGGAAATTTTTAAACGTCTGGGTAACATTGTGTATGGCATTTGGGGTGGAAATGGTACCCTGGGTGCCTTAGAAGAACTAACCCAAGATTTTGTTGATCAGACGGCTTTTATGGAATATTTTAAGAGCTCTTGGGTACCTAAGATTGGTTAGATCTCTCTCTCTCTCTCTCTCTCTCTCTCTCTCTCTCTCTCTCTCATGCACACATCATGTCGAATGGTGTTTTTATTTTTTTTGGGTCAAAGATGTTGAATTGTATTATATGTTTTGCATGAAACTATCGTATATTATTTCTTGTTAACAGAAATGTGGCTTTCGACTATGAGAAGTCTTCCGCTTGCAAGCCAGGAGGCATCTGGTGCTATTGAAGCGTATCATGTGAAGATGAAAGTGAAATTATTTGATGATTCACATCTTGGAGCACTCCAAAGAGTTGATTGGTTGGTGCACAAGCTGACAACTGAGCTGCATTCAAGCTACTGGCTTGACCGTTATGCAGATGAATGTGATTCTTTTCAAAATGTTAAGGAAGAATACATTGCTTCTACATCATGGCACAGGGCACTGCAAATTCCTGATTCTGCTGTTAGCTTGGATGACAAAGACCACCTCTATGCCAAGGTCTTAAGCCAGAAGGACAGCAGCACTGTGCATCTTGTGTGGAATCCTGGATCAGAATTCTCTTTCTGCGATTGTGCATGGTCAATGCAAGGAAACCTTTGCAAGCATATCATCAAAGTCAATATGATCTGTGAAAGTCGTCAGGGTTATCAACCTTCCATGTCTTTTCAGTCATTCAAAGAGTTGCTGATGAGCCTGTTGAAAAAACCAATGGATGATTCAGTTGCACTCGATCAGTCGATGGCCTGGACTATGCAGATGTTCGATCAAATACGAAAGCTTGTAGAAGTGACGAGTTCTAATGACATTGGCACCGTGGTAAACAATCTGCCATTGCAGTGGGTTTCTAAGAAAGGCAGAACAGGTGTTGGAAAGCCATCAACTTCTCTGGCTCTTCCTTCTGGTTCCATTGATACAAACAGAGCTGCAGCAGCAAGGAAAAAGAACCGGAAGCGAAAAAGGTTGTCAAGATTGAGATAATTGTTTTAGGTTGGCAGATTAGATATATGATTCCCTACTTTCACAACTCCCTTTTGTTTCACATTCATTTTGAAAGAAATATAGAGAAAAAAATTCCTTTCAGTTGTGTCAAGTTTATGATCTCGATGTTCACAGGAAATTGTATATTTGAGTTACCATTGACATGATAATTTACAATACATTGAAATCTTGGCTTCCATTGCAGATTGATACTTTCCTTTTTCTTCACCAGATAACCCTTAAAATGTTATGTTATGTTTATACTTTCAACTTCAGAATTCTTATCAACATGTTTTTCTTCTCGGTATCTTTGATTAATTTGGTGTTTCCTTTTATTATGGTTTGATACATAATAAATTTTCCATCACTTTTTATAGATAGACGAATTGGTTTAATAATCAAAATTCCCCTTTTAATAAATTCTGTAAGAGTTAAATCTTTCTGAATCATCAGAATATCCACTCATTTCGCCCCTTTGAATAGAGGATATAGTAAATTGCATGCAACTGGTCTTCTCAGTAAAGTCTATGAGGTTCGCAACTGTTCTCATGATGAATGTTCTCGATTGAGAAAATAAGCTTATATTCTAACATTAAGCAATGCTTTACCCAGACCCAGTCAATACAAAAATTTGAATTCATGACATTATATTTATCCCAGCACGTCCATGAGAGAATGTAACTTTGGCCCCAAGAAAAAAGAATAACAACAATGCCCAAAAACTTCAAAAATAAAAAAGGAAAGTAAATTTACACTTTCCGCATGGAAAGAGGTTTCTGGTTTCGAACCCCAGAAACTTACCCTTTTTCTTTTCAACACTCTCCCATGATTGCAAGGAAAGGGATGACCAAACACTGCCATAACGGCTAAGAACAAGAGTTGCCCAAAATTAAAGTTACAATCACCCATTGAAACAAGGACTTCTTTCGTACTTGTATAAATATACCCCCTCCATGAACAAACAAAGACAATACTTTGAAGCTCTCTAAGCCTGTAACTTCAGTTGAGTTCTGCAAACCCAACTTTTTCTTTCTTACTTTCCCACCAAAGCCCGTTCTAAAGAATTAAGCGAAATTCAGAGGAAACAGAGACATGGGTGGCAAGGTCTCTAAGCAAAGTAAAAAAGACGATGTGGTTTTGCTTTGTCTGGAGAGAAAGCGGCAGCTGAATTTGGCTGTGGAGAGAAGGCATGCGTTTGCAGAGGCGCAGTGCAATTATAACCTGTCGCTGTGTGCAGTGGCAGATGCTATAAGTTCGTTTGTAAAAAGCCATTCCTCTCCATCTGATTCTGATTCTGAACCAACCAAAAACACCAATGCTTACCCTTCTTCTGATTCTGGAATTTCTAGAAGCTCTTCTTCAGAGATAGACAGAGAAAAAAAGCTACAAGAAAGCTCAGATGATAGAGAAGAAGTTGAAGAGAATAGGGATCATAATGCTGGGACTGATGGGGAAGAATTGGGGTTGGTTTTGCTGAATGATGAGGCCGTGAGAGAAGGGAGGGAATTGTTGGAAGCATTGAAAGAGGTTGAGGTCCAATTCCTTAGGGCCTATAATTCCAGTTTGGATGTTTCCAGGATTCTAGGCACCAACATGGGTCAAAAGCAATCTGCCTCGGAGGAAACTGAAGGTGGGTTTTTCTCTTTTAAAGCCCTTTTTGTTATTTTGATTTGCTTGGTCATGGTGTATAATTCATGTTTATATGATTTTGGGTGCAGAGAACTCAAGTAAACTCAAAAAAAGCCGCTCCATCTCATCTATATTATCTTCGTCTTCCTCCCGAAAAAGCCTCCTTAGATCTAGCACCAGAAGTTCTTCAACAATCACCCCTTTGAATGGTGGTCTCTTTGATGACAATGGAGCAATGGGATCCAAGCGCCATTCGTTAACACTACAGACGCTATCTGTTTCGGAGGAAAAACTCTATGAGGCCGTGAAGGTAAAATATGAATCTAAGAATTATTTGCTTTATTCAGCTTTATGAATTTCTCATAACTTGATCATTAATTTATAGGATTGTTTTAGCTTGTGTGTTCCCTCCTCCATATGGACAACCTAGATAATTTGAGAATAACTTGAATCATCTTTAAATTTTTATGTGCAGGCTGGACAGGAAACCAGGAGATTATATGATCGAAAATGCTCCCAATATTCGAGAAACCAAGGACGTGGCCAGAAGACTGAACGCAAAATTGGAGTTAAAGTAGAGAAATTGCAGTCCAGAATTAGGGTTGACAAAACAACTGCGGAATCAACATTTGAAGCAATTCGAAAACTGAGAGATGAGGAGCTGGAACCACAACTTATTGAGTTGTTACAAGGGTAAGATAGATGTCAGCAATTTATTTGTAATACATGACGAGTCTGAATTTTTTTGAATTATTTTGTTATAACCTCTCTTTCCCACTTTCTGCAGGCTGATGAAAAATTGGAAGATCATGTCAGAAACTCATGAAACCCAACACAGAATCATGTCCGAAGTGAAGTATGTAAACTGTTCATCCTATGAAAAGTTGTGTAATGACTCACGCCAACTTGCAGATACTCGTAAGTTTGAAGCAGAACTTCAAAATTGGCGTGCGTGCTTTGCTTCATATGTTTCTTCACAAAAAGAATACATTGAAGCACTTGATGGTTGGCTACATAAGCCTGTTGCTCCTGAAAGTGAAGTCGACTCCGATATGTGGTCCTCCCTACGGTCGTGTAGAGTTGGCATGCTGCCATGCCGTGAAATTTGTGATAATTGGTTAGCTTCCATAAATAAGCTGCCACATGAAGCAGTGCCTAGTGCCATAGAGAACTTTGGCAAGGATGTCCAAGCATTGATGGTTCGACAAGCCAAGGATCATCAGCAAATGAAGGAGTTAGATGGGCTTGCTAAACAACTTCATGGGCAGGCTATGGTACTTGATTTGAAGGGATGGATTATGGAAAAGAATGGGGATGTGCGCTTGGAAAATATGGGGAACACGGTGCTTGAGTTTAAGACAAAGCTAAACGACGAGAAGAAGAAACTTCATAAAAGCATGAAGGAGACACAAAATATTACTGTGAATGGATTCCAGACGGGGTTTTCGTCCGTGTTTAAATCCTTAACCGACTTTTCAAAGAGTGTTGTGGGAATGTATGATGGCCTTACAAGATTCAACGAGAATGGAGTGGTGGTAGATGACGAAAGTAGCCACCTACCAAGCATTCATGATGAAGCCGATGACCAAAGTAGCCGAGCACCAAGCATTCGCGTTGAAGCCGATGACCAAAGTAGCCGAGCACCAAGAGTTGATGTTGAAGCCGATGAGATAAAACAAATACCTAAAGCACGGAAAAAAATGCATAGAGGACAGAAAAAATAAGCATAAAAGGTTTTTAGAATCTTAGGCAATTTTTTTTTTATTGTTTATTATTTATGTTTATTTTTAACTTTTAAGGATATATATAGAACATAGTTATTAAAGGGATTAGAAGTTTCTTTGCTTTCTTAGATTTCTAATGTATTGAGAGCTAATATCAACATGTCTATTCTCGTGAAAAATAACATTGACTTGCAAACAAGAGCTTTTATGTTTAAATCACTATGGTCCATAACATCTTAGTTTTATGCATGTGTGTGAGAAATCCTCATCTCCTATATTTTAGACTACCGCTTGTACTAAAAAAAAAGTATAAGAACTAATACAAGAGGAACAAGGGCACCCACAATGTAGAGACCCATCTTCGAAAACAAAAATGGCTTTAAATTTTTTTTTATATTTTAAATAAAGACCATAATGAATGGGGCTGGTTCAATCTGGGTCTAATTGTTGTTGGGCCTGGGATAGGACAGCCCTGAGCCCATAAAGATGGACTGGGTCAATTTACATGACCCAGTTAATTTTGTGCTGGGTTCGACCAGTATGCAAAGGGCAGAAACGTGGTCGTTTTAGGAGTTTGTGGCAGCCAGACAGAGCAATACCTACCTTACCTACTATCAGTATGCTGACATGTAGCAATAACTTGTAGTTTTATACTGTTGTACTGTAGATGGACATCAAACATGAACCAAATGTGATAAGCCCAAACATCCATCAACAACAACGTGTAGTTTCTAGACTCCTCCACATTTAGAGAAAAATACACATGTCAACATCCTACATCCACACGCACAAACAGTTTGGCGGCTCATGCTGATGTTTTGTATATGACGAAGCATCGCCTTCGAACAATTTTTTGTGCTTTCAACTTTGCATGCAGCATGGGTCTTCTCAGTGAAGTCTATGAGCTTTGTGACTGCTCTCACAGTCATGAGAAGCTAAAGAAAAACAAGCAATTACAGGTATGTGTGTATGTATGTGCTACTAGATACCCTACCCTATGAGGAATGTTCTCGATTCCGAATCTCCGAATCTAAATCATTGATCAATTTCTTCAGAGATACTCAGAAATTTTTATTTTCTTTATTCACATCTCTTCATTTAGTATATTTTTTAAAACTATCTTTTGGTTAGTAAGAGAATTACTCTATTTCATAAAAAAAGAAAAAAGAAAAGAATTACTCTATATAATATATGTAGGTGTGGAATTTTATTTTAATTATTTTTGTTTATTGGGTTGTAACATTAGACGGTGGAGATCAAAGTGAGGATGGACTGTGAAGGGTGTGAGAGAATAGTGAAGAAATCAGTGCAAGGCATGAAGGGAGTCACTCAGGTTGAGGTGGACCGCAAGCTGAGCAAGCTCACCGTGATTGGCTATGTGGACCCCAACAAGGTCTTGTATCGTGTCAGGCATCGGACGGGGAAGAAGGCTGATTTATGGCCCTATGTACCGTACGATGTTGTTCCGCATCCGTATGCTCCGGAGGCTTATGACAAGAAGGCCCCACCTGGGTACGTGCGGAACGTCCTGGAGGATCCGGAGGCTTCGGCTATCGCACGTGCCAGCTCCACTGAAGTGAAGTATACGACGGCGTTTAGCGACGACAACCCAAATGCATGTGTGGTCTTGTAATTGTTTTGTCGGCAGTCATGTAATTGTTATCTAAATATGTTCTAATTGCACTCGTAAATTTTGTAAGGCTTCAGTAGTAAGTAGCAGTAATACTAGCTGTAAAAATTTGTTTATGTCAATGGATTATTTTCTTTTACCAAGATTGCAAAGAACCAAATCTTTTTATTGTTATTGATTTTCAAGTAATTTTGTATTTTCTTTTATATACGCAATAAAGAAGATCCATCGATGATCGTTTGGCATACTGATCGACACTATTTGGTCCAACAAACTTTTGTTGAAGAATGTCTTACGGATGGCAAATTATAAACTAATGCAAAAAATTTAAATAAAACAGTAGAGCTGCGCAATTTTTTAAAAAAATATTATAGCCGTGCGGCTATACTTGTTTTCATACATGGGCTCCTAGGTGGTATTATATGATAAATCGTATGGCCGTGCGGCTTTACTACGGTTATTTTTTTAAAAAAAAATCCTACACCCGATCGGCTATACTTATTTTTTTTATTTAAAAAGTAAAGGCGCTAGGCCTGTTCCTTTTTTCCTCTTCTTATAAATCGTATAGCCGTTCGGCTATACTTGGGATTTTTTAAAAAATAGTATAGCCGCTCGGCTGTACTACGGTTAAAAAACATATAGATTCGCGGCTATACACATGCTTTTTTATTTATTTATAAAAATAATATAACCACGCAGCTATACGCAGGTATTTATTTTTTTTATATATTTTTTTTCAAAATAGTATAGCCAATATATATATATCCTTTAAAAAAAATAAAATTTCCTACTTTTCTTTTATCGATAGGAGTAGTTTAGATCATTATCCATTACTATTAGGCTATTACCTGAGTCTCTATTGTCCCATTTTGATTTTTTTTTTTTTACTTTTCCAGAGCTATTATCCGTATAAAGAATTTAGCATTTTCACGTTTAATACTCGTATTATACATGTATGTACATATTTTTCAATAATACATATGTCTTCTGTATATGTCTTAAAAACTCGATAAAATACATGTTTAAAAAAAAAAAAGCAAACATACAATACTCATATTGTACATATATGTACGTATTTTTCATGTATAATACTCGGTACTTTAAGAAAATATTAAAATATAAATAATTTAATTAAGTGGTCAAATTATATAAGATTCAAGTGATTTTTTTGTAGAGATGATCTTTGAATGAATATCTACAAAATATACGATTTAGATTAGTGAAATACAATATAAAATGGGCTCTACAAGGATGTCACTCAAATAAGCTTATTTGAGGGACACCCATTGTAGGCCTCACTCCGGATTGTATTTCACTAATCCAAACCGTCTATTTTGTAGATACTCATTCAAAGATCATCTCTACAAAAAATCACTTGAATCCAATATCATTTGACCACTCAATTGAGTTATTGAAATTTTAGTACTTTCTTGA